GGCATAAATTGACAGAGTTTAATAAGTTAGAGGACGCCTAGCACATCTTATCTATGGGTTTTTTTCCATCATAAAATTAAATAGTCTGCTGAGTGAGACCGGTAGAAAGGGAGGCAGACAGGAAAACTGTGTGTGTGTGTGGGGAGGGGGGGGGGCGTTCACTTCAAAACGTGAGGTAAGCAAACGTGTCCACTGCCTGTTTTCGTAATATACCTGACAAAAGAGGTGTTGTAATATGCTTTTGCTCCTCGTCCTAATTTTTGTTCTGGGAAGGACAACGTCATCGTGATCTAGATCTAGTTTAGAGCGAATCTGGTTTCAGCATATTGTTTTCAAGAAAACAACGCACGAGTTACCTGCCCAGGGTAAGGTATCCTGACCCCGTTTCTCAAGGGATATTATTATAACCGGCGTTCACAATTTACAACTGAACAACGCTCCTCAAACAGTGCGGGATCTGCTGAATAAATAGCTGAAAGAAAACTTAGTAAGATTCCTCTTAGTTTGCAATAGTTTCAACATGAAAGAAGAGAAAAAACAAACATAACTAAACAAAACAAAAAACGACACAAAAACAGCTACAAAAAAACAAAACGCAACCACAAACAAAAGCGAAAACCAAAACAAAACAATATTCAAGAAAGAAACAAATTTAAAAAAGAGGACCAAAAACCCAAAACAAACATCTCTGGTTTCCCCTATCATTTTATCCAATATCACTATAAGGCGGTATTATTTTTCAAGTCAAAGATCTTACGGCAGTTTGACGAAGACTAATTTTAACCTGAATAATAATGACAAAGAAATTCGTGGGACTCCTTTAGTACTTAATAATAATAATAATAATAATAGATAGCATTTGTATAGCGCAAACCCCGCTCAACAGCAAGCTCTATGCGTTTCACAATCTGTACTATTACCCCAGCAGACCTGAGAGCATTCTGAAACAAACTCAACTTCCTGGGAAGCATACAGTGCTAGCAGCCATTTATAGGCGTTAAAACACTAACATACTGACAAGATCTTTCGCTGTCTATGGCCGGGTACCAATTTCCCCCTGGGTGAAGTGAGGAAAATACGTGTAAAGTGCCTTTCCCAAGGAGACAACGTCGGGCCCGCGGCTCGAACCCCCGACCCCGCAACCTCACGATTACGAGTCCGGT